TCCGGGGCTTCTGGATCCACTTCCCGCTCTCAGCACCCACGTGAGCAGCCTGCCTGTCCTGGGCCAAGAGGTCGGCTGGAGTGCCCTCTAACGCTCACAGGGGAGGGGGTTAGGACAGCAGGGGCTGTAAGCTGTAGATCAGAGGTCCTCAAACTTCTTAAACAGGGGGCCAGTTCACTGTCCCTCAGACATTCCACACATGCGCACTGCGGGCCCGGAACAAGTCAGCTGCTAAGCAGGACAGGCAGCGGCAGCAAATCACCCAGTGGGCCGGATATGAAGTAAAAAAACAAAATGGGAACAAATACAATATTTGTATTTGCATGTGGCCCGCGGGCCGTAGTTTGAGGACGCCTGCTGTAGATGATGGTGGAACCCAGGCTGTCGCAGGGGATGGTGAGAAAAGCGTGGCCCGGATCCGCGCACGGGAGGAGAAGGTGGTGCAGCGAGGTTTATTCGTGACGTGAAGTCAAAGGAGCGCCTCTCCCCAGTTTCCATCGTCCCATCTCTGTCCGTCCACCATAGAACGTCCAGCCCTGTCCTCAGCAAGGCCCAGACAAAGGCCAATGGCCAGGGATTCTGCTTCCTATGAAAGCTTAGTCTTTTTGGAGCCCACATGATCTGCAGGCCCAGGCTGCTGAGAGAGAGAGAGAGAGAGAGAGAGAGAGAGAGAGAGAGAGAGAGATTGATTCTTTGTTCCCCTGGGGTTTTAACCAGGAACTCTGTCGACATAACCAATCATCTTCCCAAGCTCAGAAACTTCCCACTCTCTGGCCAATGATTTCTTTCCCAGGTGAGACTGACCGGCCTCTGTGGTCAGGCACCTGCCTGAGCCATTCACCTCCATGGACCATGTGCTCGCTCCCCCTGTGCTGTGTCCCCTCCCCTGTGACCTGCGGAGGGACCTGTGGCTCCCGGGAGGGGTGTGGAGCACACAGGCCGTGCCCCCAGCCGCCCTGCCCCACATGCCTGGCTCCCTCGCTCCATCACTAATGGTTCACGAGCTGCGGTAGCAGAGGTGCTGGGAGCTCAGAGGTGCTGGGAGGCGGGGCCGGATTTCCGCAAGGGGCGTGGATGTTGGATGTGGACTTTAGTTCTGAGTCTGATTCCTGTTCTCTCATCTTCCTGAAGGCGTTCCCCAAGACTGCGTTCCTTTGAATCCGCCTTTCGCCTCGGTCTTTCCACGGTACCAGTAAGACAGTTGTCTAGGATGAGAGCTCTCTAGAAAAAATGGGGTTTTCTTTTAAATGTAGTGAATCCAAAGGCTCACTGTCTGACCGCTGATGAGTAGGGTCTTGTATGAACCTCAGTGAGGACTCAGACCAACACGCCTTTTCATGGCTTAACTATGGACACTAGAGGCATCTGGAAAGGAGATACAAAGAGGCAGGCCTTTCACAAGATCCAGGAGTTCCCCCCGTCTAGCCCAAGAAAGAGGAGACCTTCCTCGCCACAAGTGAGGAGAACGGTGGCCGCCTGCTGTGGCTCCACAGTTGAGCGTCGGCCTCTGAATCAGGAGGTCACGGTTCGACTCCCGGTCAGGGCACAGGCCCGGGTTGCAGGCTCAGTGCCCAGTGTGGGACATGCTGGAGGCAGCCGATCAGTGATTCTCCCTCATCATTGATGTTTCTCTCTCTCCCTCTCCCTTCCTCTCTGAAATCAATAAAACATATATTTTTAAAAAGACTCTTCCTGGGCGCGTTAGGCCTGACTGCCTTCGGCTCGGATGATCTGCATGCTGAAGTGGTTCTGTCCCCTCGAACACAAAGGTCAGGTCAGAGGAAGGTGGTTTCCGTGGGCCCTGCAGCTGCGCTGCTGGCTGTGGACAGGACAGTGTTGGGGGAGTCACTCTCTCTGGGTCAGAGCAGTTCCCATGGGAGGACAGGCGCCTGAAGACGAGGGTCTGAGCCGGGCAGGAGGGCACAGGGACAAAGCCCTGTCCTAGTTCCCAGGAAGCTGGGTGTCACTCACACCCTGTCTCCTGGGGGTGGGGGGCCAGGAGAGAGGCGGGGCGCTGGGGCCCAGGTGTCCTTGCCCCCTCTCAGGAGTGTCTTCCTTCCTGTTTGGAGGGGGCGCGACAAGCGCAGAGCCGTCTAGAGGGTCAGATGTGTTCCTTTCCTTAGCCCTTAGGCCAGGAGTGGGGAACGTCCACCCGCGGGCCATATAAGATCTGAGAAATCACTTGGTCTGGCCCCTTCAAGGCGTTAGGGGTGAGTCAGTTAAAGGTTTGACCAAATATAGCAGGCTCATTTTTTTGTTTTTTCTGTTTAACAGGCTTTTTTTTTGGGGGGGGGGTGTCAATCCTCACCAGAGGGTATTTTTCTATTGATTTTCTTTTTTAGAGAGAGATAGAGAGTAAGGGGGAAGGAGGAGAGAGAGAGAGAGAGAAATATCGATGTGAGAGAGACACATCGATTGGTTGCCTCCTACATGCGCCCTGACCAGGGCCCAGGATCAAGCCCGCAACCGAGGTACATGCCCTTCACAGGAAACGAATCTGGGACCTTCAGTCCGCAGGCGGATGCTCTATCCACAGAGCCAAACTGGCCAGGGCTGGCAGGTTAATTTTTAAGCTGGTAATTTTGTGTGGCCCTTGAATAATATTATAAACTAGAGGCCCGGTGCACGACATTGTGCACTGGGGCGGGGGCGGGGGAGGTCCCTCAGCCCGGCCTGCGCCCCCTTGCAGTCCGGAAGCTCTCAGGGGATGTCCGCCTGCTCACCTGGGATCAGGCCTAAGCTGGCAGTCAGATATCGCTCTCACAGTCTGGGACCCCTTGCTCCTTACCACCTGCCTGCAGCGGAGAGGCTTCGGCCACTGCCACTGTGCTCGCCAGCCATAAGCCTGGCTCAGGGCTCCTGGTTGAGCAGCGCACCCCCTGTGGGAGCGCACTGACCACCAGGGGGCAGCTCCTGCGTTGAGCGTCTGCCCCCTGGTGGTCAGTGTGCATCATAGCAACCAGTCATTCTGCTGTTCGGTCGAATTGCATATTGGCTTTTTATTACATAGGATTATTATATAGGATACCCACATGGCAGAAAACAGGTTCACACCCCTGCCTTAGGCAGTGGCCGTAGCACAGCAGTTGCACTTGGGGCCCCTCTCCTGAGTCTTGGTGGGGCGGGAGCTCACAGGGCTCTGGAGCTGGGCAGGGACTGAGGGCAGGGCTGACGCTGTGGAGGCGGCACTGTGGGCCCAATAGTCCAGCTCACCTGCCACCTGGATGTGGAAGGGAACTGGAGGTTTCCAGGCGCCCTGTGGGCGTGACACAGAGCCGTCAGGTGACAGCCTGTGACAACACGGAGGTCTTCCCAGTTGTTTGAGTCCCGCAGACTTAGGGAGGAAACCCGAACCGACCCGAACCCACTGCACGGGGATTGGGGGCTGAAGGGTTGGGGCCTGTGATTCCCCAGGGACCGTGCTTAGCCCTGACCTCGCTGAGGGACACAGCGGCTGGGCGGGAACCACAGTGAGCTGCGGTCGCCCCGGCCTGGGTGTTTCCCCTACGGACCATGGGATAGTGAGCCGTTGATAGCCGGTGTTCTGTGCCTGGTGGTGAGATGGCCCCAGAGCAGAATGGGGTGGAGGCTGCTGACCGGGGGCGGGAAGGAGGGCTGGTGGCTCTCTCCCTCTACCTCTGGTGCTGGCGGGAACCTGAGCCACCTGCCTGGGGGGTGACAGGATCCTGCTGGCCTCATGGGTGCTCGGAATCACTCACACTGTGCTGACTTTTCGGTGC